TCATTTTCTCCTTCTAATGTTGTCAAAAACGGAGTAGCAAAACCACCCAACAGGGGTAGTAAAGTGTGGGAACCCAACGTTGAGTATAATCATATTTACCTACTGTTGGGTACAACTAACTTACTTTTGGTTAAAAAGCCAGTGGAAAATTCCATACGAACTGCACACAAGTAAATGAAAAATAACTTGACTCGCTTTACCTACTTTTGGGTTCCTGCACTATAGTGCCGAGATGAGTGAAAAGAACTTAATTTTGGGTACTTTTTTCTAACTGTGTATGTAAGGTCCGGGCCAACATTGCTAAGCACACAACCCTAACAAAAATATCATTAACGAACGATAACCCAAATGATAGATTTTTTCCACAGATGGTTTGGATGATACCCAGAACATGCCGTTAAGCAAAATAACCATAACAAATTTATTAGGGAAGTGACGACGTCGTTCCATATTGCGAACAGTGGGATTTACGTCACTGCCAACAGCTGTTTGCACATTTCACTAATGTCGTTTTCGTTTTTGCGGTGTAGCACTGGTGTAGTGTAAGCAGGAATAAGCGCGAGTCTTTGACAACTCAACATCATTTAGTTTAAAGAGCCTGAATTAATAAAGAGACGAAATGTCAAAATTGGAACAATCGATTGTCTGTCAAAATCATACACGGATAGAAATCTCCTTATACCTTTTGGCAAATTTCTATTGCTGATTATTCATAAAATGTATAAGTCAACTAATAAGCAGACGCCTAGCAAAAAGTTAATGAAGATCATGTGTCAAATGAAATGTATAAGCGGTCACACATACCTTTTAAGCATTCTTATAAGACCTATGTGGTTTGTCTAATGGAATGTATAAGGCTGATGTATTGGCAAAAATGTATAAGTGAAACACATGAATAAAATTATTGATTTTCGTTTCGTGTAGGAAACGTCATTCCAATCGAGCAGAAGACCTGTCAAATGGATAAGATGTCACCTCTATAAATTCAGGCTCTTTAATTTATTTGTAAACAAAGGTGCATCCTATATCTACACCCTAAAATATTTCGGTGAACGGCCAGCGTTGCCAGTATTCCAGATTTATCTGGATTTTCCAGATTTCTAGTCGTTTTGCCAGATACACAGACAGACCACGTATATTTCCAGATTTTTAAAATATGTTCCAGATTTTTCCAGATTTTTTAAACATGTTGCTTTAAAAATATCACTGCAATTGATTTACACTCTAATGAAAAAAATAAAAAGCCAAACTTGGTACTTTAATTATTAAAAGCCATCAACGTTGGACATTAATGGAATTTTAAGGTAATTCTGAAAAGAGTTCACAGTTAAGTGTGAGGTGAATTCTTTGTGAAATCAAAGGACAATTTCAAGCTACTTCTGAGCAGAATTACATCCATCTTAGTGGGCTTCGGGGTCGTGTGGCGTCACCCATCATTTAGGCGTATTGTGAGTGCCACGAAGTGATGGTTCGATTCCCGCTCCAGCCGGTGCTAATTTTGGCAACCTGAAAATTTCCCTACTGGTCTAATGGGTGTGGTGTGTTGTCCGTTGTCTAGTGTTAAATATTTAGTCTGTGCAACCTCTGGTTGAAGCCGATGTCAATTGTCTTGTCAATTCTGATGACAATTGCATGGAGATTTTGTCAATAAAGGAAATACAATCCGGAAGAGAAATCATAGAAAATACTTATGATGAAACTTTAGGAGTATGCTGATACGAATCGTGAGAATAATTACAATAGAATTCTGTCCAATGTTTCTATGGAGAAAAATTAAAAAAATTTGAATCGCAATTTCTGGGAGACTTTCAAAACCATTTTGGCAAAGTACTTAGATAATACTGAAAAGGACTTCAAAACAATTCTGATCTTACCTACAAAGCAGTTTAAAGGGAATTATCGGATAAGTATGAGAAGAGTGTACCAAGGAAGTTGATAAGAATAGTTTAAGAATTTCATAGAGAAAAATGGGCACAAAATTGAGCTAATTCTTGGGACTTATTACCAATTTGAGGAAGTTGTGGGATTGGAGAGTGATTTATAAGAGATTACAAGAGATAATGCTAAGAAGTCTTAGAATGTTACTGGAAAAGTTGAGATATTTTCAAAATTATTTCAGGGGAATACAGAAAAAATAATATGATGGAATTCTAGGACGATTCGATTTGAACTAAAAAAAAGGCGAAGATATCCTGTGAAGAGTTCCAAGTAAATTCAGACTAACAAAACAATTCATGATCTGGGACGCAGGAAAAATATAAATTCCAGAATTTAGAATCATTGCAAGATCCTGAGACTTCAAAAATGAAGCTATCCGAATTTCATTTTAGTAATATAATTAAATTATTCTTTGACATAATGGTCATGAGTTACCCGTAGTGTGTGAGTTCCACGATGTTAGGCTTTGATTCCCACTTCAGCCCGGTGAATTTTGCTTCAAAATAAAATTGCCTACTGGTCTGCTGGGTGTTGTGTGTTGTTTGATGTCAAGAATTAATCTGAATAAACCTCAGAGTAATATTAGAATAATTTAGAAGTAATAAATCTTTAAATTCTGGTACTGCATCAAATAGTAAGAACTACATCGACTCTTAGTTTAAAAAATTCATCCCATCAAATTTCCTTGATTCTTTGCTTCTCATTCTTTTTAAAAAAGTTACAGCTTAAAAAACAATTCTAGTCATATTTTCTGCTGTTTTTTACCCACATTTAACACAATTTTTGAAATGCTGCGTAATGGATATTTGAACTTCTTGGGCACACCGTGTCAATACTTTTCAACTTTTGGATGATTTTAGCAATGCTAACAAGTTATTGCTTTATTTAATTTATTTAAACATGTAATTTATAACCATTATAGTACTTTAAAAAAATTCCAGATTATCATACTGACCTATTTTTAAGGGAGATTGGCACATCACTTTGATTTCAATAGCATTATGTTAAAAAGAGGATTTTTGGAGCATTCCAGATTTTTCCAGATTTTATATTTACCGGGTCCAGATTTTTCTGAAAATGACCTGGCAACGCTGTGTACGGCAGTGTAGCACCGGTGTAGCTACACCGCAAAAACGAAAACGACATAACTCCAATAAGCCTGTTGGCCCGGACCTTACACGGCGAATGAGAGCAACCCAAATTTGAGTTTAGTTCACTCATAATCGCCAAAAGTGCAGGAACTCAGCGATGAGTTAATATGCCTCATGTTTTCCCAGGTTTTTCCAGGATTTTCCAGGGAAAAATTCCCGAATTTGAGAAAAGTATAAAGATTGGATTCACTCAGTCTATTGGTACTACTCCGAGACTGAATAAAATTTTCGTCAATTTCCTCATTTTCCGGCAGATTTTTTAGGTTTTCCACAAGAAACCATGGGACTAATTTTACTCATCGCTGAGTTCCTGCACTTTTGGCGATTATGAGTGAACTAAACTCAAATTTGAGTCGTTCTCATTCGCCGTGAAACGACATTCGTAAATTTATTTTGATAGTATTCGTAGGCATACTGCTTTTCAGTACGAATTTGTTGATGAACCGATACTAGGCGAATTCACGCTGATTAAACCTGCATCTACACGGTCGATCACACCAACTCAAAATTGAATCCAGTCGACTCAATTTAGGTAAAAGTGGATTTACTCAATCTCTGAAAACTGTTTTTTTTTTTTTCTAGTCAAAACTTAGTGGGCGTACAAATATCAATCTACAGCTGCTTCTCTGATCAAATGCATAAGGGAATTTGCGGATGCCGATGCAGATTACTATGCGCTTATGTGAACAAAAGTGCATAGCAAAAACTACAAGGGACACCCCAATGGGGTTTTACGCAATGATGCCGTAGGACTACGTGGTATGATATAATAAATATTGTTGTTAACTGCAGCAGGAGCTTGTGTTTTGTGTAGGAATAGGAATTTTAGCGGGGTTCTCTCTGATTATACTCTTTAGTATGACTATGATTGCCCTGAAAAGAATATGGCGATGAGTGTGCAAAATATTACGCAATTCCATCCTCCCTATTCGCACGCGCCCGAGGATCGGAGGCGAATGCCACTTCGACTTGTTTCGTCTACTTACTAGACTACTCTCTGACGACTGTGCTGGGGAAGCAGCATATGCATGTAGGTAATTGGGGGATTTGTTAGTTAATTCGACGCTTTTGGACAATGGTGGACATTTACCAGTTTTTCAATAGTTTCTTGTTGAAAATAAACATTCGGAAGCATTTTTATCGATGCGTAGCCATATTTCTGATCGATTGGTGATAAAATTATTGAAATTGGACCAAGGGGCAGTTGAGTCATTAACGTTCAAAATCTTTCAAAATTTGTCACATGTTCCATTTTTGGTTTTCACAAAGTGTACCCCCATATAGAAATCACAGACGTAGTCCTACGTCAAAAAACATCTAGAGAAAAATTCTGTCTAATATTGCAGATATAATCTGAGCCCTTCAATGTGGATTGAAAATACAGTCAACTCTCCACAACTCGATATCGAGCTATAGAACCAACTGAAAAAATCATCGCAACTTACCGAATATATTGTAAATTTTCACTTAGCAGCACAGAGAACAAACATTGAGGCTTGAACAATATTTCTCTAAAAACTAGTGTAAAGATTCTGTAAAATCTAGGAATTTTTGTTCCGATCCCGAATCACTTCACTACGGATTCGCGAACCGGCCTTCGTGTTCTTTTTATTAACTTCTTCTAATTATTTCAGGATACAACTCGCGGTGAACTCGGACGGGGAAATAAACTAAAAACGCCCGGACTCTTTGACCGTTTACAAAGTACTGATTTTATTTCGTATTCTGTTTGTTCTACATAGATTGTCTTCCGTTTGTGTGTGTGTGTTAGTGTTTACTGAAGGTATATGGTATATGAGGATCAAAAGCAAATACAAACAGGGTAGGGTGGTTCGAAAAACTATTGGAATGTTAGGGTGGTTCAAAAAAGTTACTATCTTTGCATTTAACATTCCGGCCGCCAAGAATGGATTATTCTTCATCGGCGCTGGAGTCATAAGATGACGGGGATTGCTGCTGGATTGTCTCTGGATCTATCTCCACCGGTAGCAGGCAGAGTTTGCTTACAGCTCTCTTCGTAACTCCGGTACTGGTCCTAACCGAAGCTACACGGACAAGCCCATCGGTTCCTGGATGGACGTCGACAATTCTTCCAACGGCCCACTTCTGCGGCGGCAGATTTTCATCTCGTAGCAGAACGATGGCACCACGGACGAGGTTGGCCGTAGTATTTGACCAGCGGTAGCGGTTGTGGAGGGTACAGAGGTAATCCTTCTGCCAGCGTTGCCAAAACTGCTGAGACAGGCACTGGACACGTTGCCAGCGGGACAGGCGGTTCTCTGGAACATCTTGCAGGCTGGGCTCTGGAATAGCATTGAGCGGCCTTCCCACCAGGAAGTGTCCTGGAGTTAAGGGTTGCAAGTCTTGCGGGTCCTCTGACATAGCAGTTATTGGTCTTGAATTCAACGCAGCCTCGACTTGGATGAGGGCGGTTCTGAATTCAGTTTCTGTCAGCATAGCGTTTCCCATGATACGGCGGAGATGGAACTTCATTGACTTCACCGCCGCTTCCCAGATTCCGCCTAGCGATGGCGATCTGGGAGGAATGAAGTGGAATTCGATGTTACTCGTAGCGCACTCACGAGCTACGACGTCTTTATGCTGTTGAGAAACGAATAGTGTGCGGAGATCTGCTAACTCACGTTGAGCTCCCACAAAATTCCGACCATTGTCACAGTATATGTTGCTGGGCTTGCCACGTCTTCCGGTGAAACGGTGCAAGCTAGCGATGAATGCCTCCGATGTCAAATCGGGAACGAGGTCAAGGTGTATCGCCTTGACAGCCAAGCACACGTAGACCGCTACGTACGCCTTGACAGGAGCTGCTCTTTTGTTGGGTGCTCGACGCAAAATTGGGCCGGCAAAGTCAACCCCAACATTCTCGAACGGGAATGCTCTGGTTACTCGAACCGGCGGAAGATTACACATTAGTTGCTCCAACGACTTCGGGGAGGCACGAGTGCAGATAACACAGTGATGCACGGTGGTACTGGCGAGATTCCGACCATTCAGTGGCCAGAAGCGACGACGCAGAGATGAAAGAAGAAGATTCGGGCCACCGTGAAGCGTTTTAAGGTGCTCGAGCGAGACGATCATTCTGGTGAGACGATGGTTTGCAGGCAGTACCACAGGGTGTCGTATGTCAACGGCGAGAGCAGAATGATGAAGCCGGCCGCCAACTCGGATCAATCCATCGATGAGTTTCGGATTCAGGAAACGTAATTTGGATTTCTTGCTTACGGCTTCGTTTCGAGCGAGTTGCTTCATTTCAGAACCGAACGCGTCTTCTTGCACACGACTTATGAGACCGAGTAACGAACGATCGATTTCCGACGCCGACAACGGACCGGTTACGCGTTCATTCTTCACCCGACGAGTGTTCTCACGAAAACGGTGCCACCACGCGCACACGCGAACGAGAGGGGTTAGGCTTGAATAGCGATCGATGATGTCTTCTGGCTCTGTAAAGACTGGCAGCGCCACAACTTTCCGTAATTCTGGATCTTCACGATTCTGTTTACGCAACACGTAATTCGGCGGCCACGGTTCACTTAACGATCTGATCCAGATAGGTCCATTCCACCATAGAGTATTTTCTACTAGATTCTCTAGGCTGGTTCCTCTCGACAACAGGTCAGCGGGGTTTTCGTCGGAGGGTATCTGATTCCAGGAGGCTGAAGCGGTCAACTCCTGAATTTCTGCTACTCTGTTGCTGACGAAAGTCTTCCAGGTCGACGGTGAAGCAGAGATCCAATCCAGTGTTACGGTCGAATCTGTCCAAAGATAAACTGGAGCCACGAGTGAGGTGCTCTTTAGAACTTGAGCCAGGAGATGCGCTAGGAGTAGCGCGGCGGAGAGCTCCAATCTCGGAATTGACTTACTACTGAGTGGAGCTACACGGGACTTGGCCGTTAGCAATTGGACATAGCATTGGCCTTTTGCGTCGACCGACCTGATATACACGTAGGCTCCATATGCCTGCAGGGAGGCGTCGCTGAATCCATGGATTTCTAACCTTTGGTGCGGGGAGAGCATGACCAACCGCGGAATGCGAAGACCATCTAGGTGACGTATATCTCGCTGATATGACGTCCATTCTTCCACGAACTTCACTGGAAGCGGTGTATCCCATTCTAGTTGACACTTCCAGAGGGCTTGTATTATGATCTTCGCATGAACAACTTTTGGGCCTAGCAGCCCGAGTGGGTCAAACAGGCTACTCATCTGTGACAGAACGGTTCTCTTAGTGATTGGCTGGCTATCCTTCCACTTTGGAGGTTTGAATGACAGTTGATCGGTGGTGGGTTCCCAGCGTAGACCAAGACCGGTAACAGAGGTATCTCGATCTAGTTCTAGCAGCGTACGCGTTTCTCGGAGGTGTTCTGGAACGACATCCAGCACGTCTTGACAATTCGAAGACCATTGTCGAAGAGGAAATCCTCCGGCTGCTAGAAGCCCAATCATCTCGTTCACAATCAGCTTCAGCTGTTCCACGTCGTTGGAACCGGTAAGAAGGTTATCCACATAAAAATCCTTTCAAGTAATTCTTGCTGCGTGTGGGAATCGCTGTTCTTCGTCTGTGGATAGCTGTTGCAAAACGCGAGTTGCCAGGAAAGGCGAGTTGTTCAAACCGTACGTAATGGTGAGTAACTGGTACACTTTCAAACGGAGTTCAGGGTCATCACGCCACAATATGCGCTGCAACGATTGATCCAAGAGATGGACCAGAATCTGTCTGAACATCTTCTCAATGTCAGCGGTCACGACGAAACGATACAATCGGAATCGTAGCACTATTTCCACTAGCATTTCCTGGATTGTGGGACCAGGAATCATAACGTCGTTAAGAGCCAATCCCGAACGTGATTTACAGGATGCGTCAAACACGGTTCGGAGTTTGGTGGTTGTACTCTCAGGTTTCAAGTCCCCGTGATGTGGTAGGATAAACTGTGGTCTGACGTTCAGTTCCTCTTCTGCAACTTCACGCATGTGCCCCATTTCAATGTATTGGGTGACGAAATCATGATACTGCTTCCTTTTCTTTGCATCTGACATGAGAGAACGTTCCAACGAATAGAAGCGTCTAGTGGCCTGGTACATGTTATCATCCAACTGAGCGATGAGTTCTTCACGTTTTGGTAGCCTGACTACGTATCGACCTTCCGGCGTCCGTGTGGTGTTGGCCAGGAAGTGCTCCTCACAAAACTTATCCGTGGCTGACCAACCCTTGGTATCATGGACGGTTTCCAGCTCCCAAAACTTTCGAAGCATTTCTTCTACACGAACTGCACTACTCATTAGGCAGGAACGAGGATCAGCATGATCGTGGTCTCGAATGGTGCAGGGACCTGACACGACCCATCCGAGGACAGAATTCTGCAAAACTGGCAACTGCTCACCAAGCTGGATACGACCGTAGCGGAGGATATCGAAGAAAAATTGAGCTCCTAAGATTAGGTCAATTTCATTCGACACGTGGAAAGTTGGATCAGCAAGACGCACTGTTTCAGGAATCTGCCAATTCTGTGTACTGATTGTTGATCCTGGCAGCTTGATGGCGAGAGAGGGTAGAACTAGAAGTTGCGGTTCCACAACGTACGGAGAAACTCTTGACGATACCTTGGCGGTAACGGAGTGCGTGGCCTTGGTGGTTGATTGACCTATGCCACACACTAGAACAGGAACAGAAGCACGTGTACGTGGGAGTTGTAGTTTCTCGCAAAGAGCCTTCGTGATGAAATGGCTCTGGGACCCCGAGTCGAGTAGACAACGGGCAAGAACTTTGCGACCTTGAGCATCCTCAATTTCCACCAGTGCGGTAGGGAGAATAACAGCAGTGTGTACATTATCCTTGTCACATGCCATCATGGCATAATGCAGGTTTGCAGGAACTGTTGGCGCTGTAGAACATTGTGCAGGATGGGAACCGACAACCGGGGACAACCTTAGAGGTTGGGACAGGTTCTGCAACGGCAGTGCAGGAGTATTCACTACAGGAGACGGAGTCGGTTGAACAGGATTTGGAGCAGATGGTTGTGCAACAAGTGTAACAGATCCACTGACTTGAGGACCTGGAGAGGGCTGTTGTATGAACTGTGCCCCTTGGAGAAGAGTATGGTGTTTCTTCGGACAGCGGTTGCACGGTTTGCTTTGACAGGACTTCGCAAAGTGATCTGTGCTACGGAGGCAATTGGAACATAACTTCTTCGACTTCACGAACTCGAACCGGTGCTGTTCAGATAGCTTCTGGAAATCAGGGCAATGGTACAGGAAGTGACTCTGGTTGCATTTTTCACACCTCCGGAAAGATTCTGTGGCTTGGGTGGAGGACGAGGAGCTGAAATGCACTGAGGACTTCATTGGCTTCACCTTTGGATCACGATCTCGACTGGAACCAGGGGACGGATTAACACATTGCAGAACTCTGGCATAATTCTGAAGGTAGTTCACCATCGATACATATGTCGGCATATCATTTTCTTCTGCTTCATCACATGCCACACCACCAAGAACATTGGCAATATTATCACTATCCAGCCGGGCACAATAGCTTTCCCACTCTTTCTGCGTATGTGGATCCAAACGGGTTGACAACTGGTAAATTAACAACGAATCCCAGGAATCAGTGTCTTCTCCCAGTCGCTTCAGTACAGAAATGTGCTGCTCGAATCTATCCACCAAGTTGAGTAGCTCATCAGCCGATTCCTTCTTCATACTGGGTACCTCGTACAACAACTTAATATGACACCGAATAAGCTGTCGTTTGTTTTCAAAGCGCAGCTTAAGTGCTCTCCAAGCATCGCGGTATCCGTCCTTGCTTATCGAAATTGAATCAATAATCCTTGCAGCTACACCCTGGACTAACCCCTTAAGGTACTGGAATTTGTCGACACTGCTAATTTCGACACGATTTCCAATGGCAGAATCAAAAGCATCACGAAACACACACCAATCAGCAAGTTTTCCACTGAACCGAGGTAGATTTAATTCAGGAAACCGAATGTGACTGGCGGGTCTGACAGATTGCGTTGGCGGATTGACAGGTTGTGCATTTTGGTTGAGATGTTTCGATAAAAATGCACGCAACGCGTAGTATTTCGTGTTGAACTTCATACGATCCTCTTTGTTGTCATCACCGTACGTGGCTTCAAGAATGCACACCGTACGACGATACTCCTTAGCTATCTCTTCAAGCCTATCTGACCATGCTCCTAACAATTCTGCATGCTGTCCTGTTTTTGCCTCCCTTGCAAGAGTCATCAGCAATTCAATTGACTCCCACAAGTGCTCTTTATTTCTCCGCAGAAAATCTGCCTCCTTATCACCCTCAACCTTAAACATTTTGATTTTAACGTGGCTCTACACGGTACGCGAATACGGAACGAGTCTCCTTCCCGTGTCAACACACGGTTGAAACGACCGAACCGGGGAAACGAGACGACAAAAGTGCTTTCTCACCGACGTCGACGAGCCGAGACGAACACGAGCCAATATGCGAATTGGTGACCACGACGCGAGTCGTGTGCAAGAGAAAAAGAAGCAAGGTACTCACTCAATGCTGGGGGGCTTACGGCGATCCCTGGTGGCTGGGTTAACAAACAATCCTCGGGACCAGCGTGGAAATGGAACGCCGACAAGCGAACAGAAAACTCGCTCTCCTCTCTTGGGTAGCCGGTACCAGTAACCGGCGGCAGCAAATCAGCAACACACTCACAGATGCCGATTTTCTTCTCGATATCTTCTCGTTCTCACATAACACCAACACCGTAGTCAGTGTTTCAGTTCTTCTCACGAGTCACGAATAGTGTGGAAACATTCAACACAACAAAAGCACTTCAAGTGCATCGCGCAAAAATCACCAACACCACTCACACATCGAAAGCTTTCAGTTGTGTGCTGCTTCACATGGAAATTTCTTCCCAGTTTACAAAATGGCGTCACTAGCACGTTCTGCTACTTTCGGTTGCGCGTCTAGATTTTTGCACTGCGCAATTTCTCAAACGAGCGACTTTCGTTGCTGTACAGCAATTTTCACGCTCTGTACCACTTGTACACACTATTCGGCAGCAAAGCTGCGAAAATCACTGCACCACTTCAGTGGTGAAAGCTAATTTTTTGTCAAACTTTCACTTTTCACACGCGAGTCGGACGAATCCGAAATCCCGGCACGAACAAACCATGCATCCGGCTCGAAGGACCATGTAAAATCTAGGAATTTTTGTTCCGATCCCGAATCACTTCACTACGGATTCGCGAACCGGCCTTCGTGTTCTTTTTATTAACTTCTTCTAATTATTTCAGGATACAACTCGCGGTGAACTCGGACGGGGAAATAAACTAAAAACGCCCGGACTCTTTGACCGTTTACAAAGTACTGATTTTATTTCGTATTCTGTTTGTTCTACATAGATTGTCTTCCGTTTGTGTGTGTGTGTTAGTGTTTACTGAAGGTATATGGTATATGAGGATCAAAAGCAAATACAAACAGGGTAGGGTGGTTCGAAAAACTATTGGAATGTTAGGGTGGTTCAAAAAAGTTACTATCTTTGCATTTAACAGATTCCTATTCGACTTAAGCGCCACTAACGGCGACTTCCCCACTTAAAAACCCTCTTTGACAACCTCAGTTTACTCTAGCCATTTGCCCTGTAAGTTTACCTAGCTTCTAACACAGAGAACAGACGTCCAACTTCGGTCAGAAACTTGTGTAAAGATAAGTAGGAACATCGCCGTTACGTGGCGCTAGCATTTTCTGATTTCCTCTATAAATTTTCCACTTTCGACCAATTTGGCTGTTGAAAATTGCCACTTGGTGCTACCAGCACTTAGTGTCTAGTGCAAATTGTGTAACGCCAGCGCCATCAGGTTGTCAAAGAGGTTTTTTAAGTGGGGAAGTCGCCGTTAGTGGCGCTCAAGTCAAATAGGAATCCTTACACTAGTTTTTAGAGAAATTTTGTTCGAGCCTCAACGTCTGTTCTCTGTGATTTTATCTAGATGAACGCGTCATTGGAACGGTACTAATGGATATTTTTGGCGCTATTGAAAATTTAGTCGAGTATAGAATTTATGTATGGGCCCAAATTAGGGATATTTAGGCCGACATTACATCTAATTTCCTGTAGGAGCAGGTACTCCGCTGCTTGCTGGTTGATGTGTCCTAGGTAGTAACCTGAAAAGCCATGTGTGTCCGCTTCCTTGATCCCTGTTGAGTAAAGTTGAATTCCGTTGTTTGTTGATCTCGAGGCTCTTTGCAACATCCAATTTCCATGGTGTATATGCGGTTCGTAAAATCGTGGTGTCCTAAGTCGATAGTTGGTGGTCCTGTGGGAAGATGTGTTCTGCTACCTTTGATTTGAAATCATATGTTAGGCCTTTTTCCTCTTGCTTTTTTCTCCTTTGGTTTGTTTTTTCCGTCGATCTTGTTTTCCGTGCTGAGCACCAATGCTACCGACGTGCCAGGAAGGCAGCTCCCACACCTGGACCCTACCTATCGACCCATCAACTCATGAACCGGGGACCAACGGCTTTACTTCCCATCCGAAGGAAGGCGTGATCAGAGATGTTATGCCTCAGAACATCCTGGCGGCGCCGACTGGGATTGAACCCAGGCCTGCTGGGGTGAAAGGTAATCACGCTTACCACTACACCACCGGCGCCGTTTCCTCTTGCTTTTTGAAAAATAGGTTTCAATTTGACATTAACGTGACGTATAAGTGGCTCTGATTACCCAACGAATGAGACAGGCAACATTTTAAAAACTTAATGTAAAGTGAGGATTACATCGGGGCTTAGTTGAGGACTGGGTACGCGAACCGGTCGTAACCAAGTAGATTCCTGACGTTCTCCGGGAGCCCGTGTTGTTCGCGTAGCTTTTGGAACTCCGAGCAGACGCACAGCGCGTGTTCCACCGAGGCGGGGAGGCTGCAAATTGAACAAACCTTGCGGAAAGGTGTCCCACCGAAATTACAGGAAATTCTCGCCCGATCCGGAGTCCTGAGATGATCCGCTGGTCCTTGTACTTTTGGCTGTCCACACGGATAGAAATCTCCTTATACCTATTGGCAAATTTCTATTGCTGATTATTCATAAAATGTATAAGTCAACTAATCTTATAGGACCTATGTGGTTTGTCTTATGGAATGTATAAGACTGATGTTTTGGCAAAAATGTAAAACTAAAACACATAAATAAAATAATTTATTTTCGTTTCGTGCAGCCAGGGGCGTACGGTTTCCTTGATCTTCTTCAGGAAAGGGGTCCGCGACTGGAACCATCCCTGCGGCCAGGCTTCCATAATAGTATTCGCAATCCAACGCCTGACGTCTAGGAGGGGTACGTTCCTGGTGTAGCGGGGATGGGATGCACCAGATCCCGCCAGCCTATCCGAAGCCTCGTTTCCGGGAACACCGCAGTGTCTGGGGATCCACGTAAAGACGGTTGAAGGTGGGGCGTACCGTGTAATGGCTTGTATCCAAGGGTGGCTCGGGGCTTCGACATCCAGCGCTTAAATGACGCTGTGTGAGTCAGTTAACACGAGGATCGGTTGAACTGCCGGAGTGATGGCTGCGTCTAGAATAGCTGCGGCCTCAGCGGTAAAGACGGAACACTCCTCCGGTAGACTTTGACTCGTTGCAGTGTTCTGTCCTGCCACTCCGAGTCCAACTCCAGCCCGCGACCGCGATTCGTCCGTAAAGCGATGAATGTGCCCCGGATAAACCGACCTGAGAAGCTCTGCAACAGAACGTCTCAAAGCTACAGAGTTATCTCCGGCTTGGAATCCACTCTTAATCCGCTTATCTATTTTGACGACGTTTGATCGCCAACTCTTCTCTGCATGCCAGTGGACCCTGGCCACAGCGGGGAGGTCACGGTTGGCTGCAGTGCGGAGGGCTCTGTTCCCCTCGTTGAGGAGAAAGACCCTTTCGTTCCCGGATGTCTTAGCAGCGAGGGCAGCGGCTTTCGTAGCAATGGCTGCAGCAGATCGATAGCGGAAAGGGAGGATTAGGATTTCCACACATGCGGTGTCTGCAGGCGTGGAAGGGAGAAGGCCGAATAAAGGGTGATACGGTCAAAATTTGGTCAAGGGAAAACGCGTGTAAATCGGTGAAATCGTTTATTTAAAAAATCAAATTAAATTTCTTTTTCAAGTTCAATTAGTATAAAATTCAGGAAAAATATTCAGTTAGGCTTCCGCTTTTCCAAATCCGAATTGCCGGGCCTTACGCTTGACCCCTGCCATCAGATTTTGTACAGCCACCTTGTCCACCTTCTTCGCCGCAGAAAGCCAGTTTGCCTTGAACTGCTGCTCGCCCTTAGCAGTTTTTTGGTCTTCTTTAGGTTCCGCTTGACAATAGCCCAGTATTTCTCAATTGGGCGGAGCTCTGGCGTGTTGGGAGGATTCTTGTCCTTGGGAACCACCTGCACGTTGTTGGCGGCGTACCACTCCATGGCCTTTTTACCGTAATGGCAAGATGCCAAATCCGGCCAAAACAGTACGGAACAACCGTGTTTCTTCAGGAAAGGCAGCAGACGTTTATTCAAACACTCTTTCACGTAAATTTCTTGGTTGACAGTCCCGGAAGCTATGAAAATGCTGCTTTTCAAGCCACAGGTACAGATGGCTTGCCAAACCAGATATTTCTTTGCGAACTTTGACAGTTTCATGTGCTTGAAAACATCTGCTACCTTTCCCCTTCCTTTTGCCGTATAAAACT